CGACTGTTAAGATGAATATCTTACCTAAACTGCTATTTTTATTTCAGACGGTTCCTGTCAAACTAAGCCAGAAATTTTTCGATGATTTAAATGCAACAATAATGAGATTTATATGGCAAGGGAAAAAAGCAAGAATTAAAATTAAACTGTTACAAGACTCAAAAGACAGAGGGGGCTTTGGGCTCCCAGACTGGAGACTCTACTACCAAGCCACTATTTTGTTGTGGCTTAAAGAATGGATTACATTGAGAAATAAACGACTTCTTTATTTAGAGGGACATGATTTGCAACTGGGTCGGCACGCTTTCCTATGGTATGAGAAAAATAAAGTACATAAATACTTTCAAACTCACGCTATAAGGAATGTACTACTCTCAGAGTGGGAGAGAATTAAAAATAAAATTTATATGAAAATACCTGAGTGGCTTTCAACAATGGAAGCATTTGCGTATCCGAACTTAATTAACTATGATAAACTTGGGGTCTATAAAGATATTTTAGATAAAGAAGGAAAACTTAAAAGATAGGCAAGATCTTCAACAAAATGGTATTGATTTAACATGGTGGTCATATTTGCAAATTCAAACAAGATATGAAAAAGATGTAAAAGTAATGGGATTTTACAAAGAACAGACAGCATTAGATAAAATACTCTTGAAAACAGATGAAAATTTGATTAAGAAACTCTATAAATTTTTGTTAAACTGGAAGATGGAAGAACAAGTGAAAGATACAGTGATAGTGTGGGCAAAGAATTTTGGTTATTCTATAGATTTAGAAGATTGGCAAAAACTATGGGACCGAAATATTAAACTTACTAGAGTAGCTGCATATAAGGAAAATTTATATAAAATGTTTTATAGATGGCACATGATACCAGTTAGATTAGAGAAAATGTTTAAAAATGTATCAAATATGTGTTGGAAATGTAAACAACAACCAGGTACTTATTACCATCTCTGGTGGATATGCCCTAATGCTAAGAAATTTTGGTTTAAGATTCATATGTGGCTGGAAAAGATGATTAAAATACATATAGAATTTAAACCAGAACTCTGTTTGCTAGGAATATTAGGCTTGAATTATGGAAAAGAGAATGAGTATTTAATATTACATGTGTTAACAGCTGCGAGAATAACATTTGCCCAATTTTGGAAAAATGAAAATTTACCATCTGATCACATTATAATAACAAAAATACTTGAATGTGCAGAAATGGATAGATTAACTTTAGAAATGAAAGAGAAGATACAATTTATTTTAAAACATGGGAAAAGTTTTACCAATGGTTAGCAATACGATAGAATGAGAAAAGGTTATGAAACTTAAAGAGATAATTGATAATTTGTATTTATATTTCATGATTATTTGTATGAACTTGTCTTTTTCTGTTTTTTTCTTTTTTTCGTATTTGTGATATATAGTAAATTATAACCGATAAGTAATATATTACTATTTTAAAGTTATTACAACTAATTAGTATTAAGCATTGTTAATTAGTAAAATGAATGAGATATATTGATTAACTTGTTATTTACATGACTATATTGAAAGCTGTTTAATACTAGAGTAATTATTAAGATTTAATATATATACCCGGACGGGTTTACTTGCTGAAGCGATGTTATTTTGTGGGATTGATCCCACTTTTGTGTTTATCCCCTTCCTTTGATTTAACCCTTTTGTATGTCTCCCTTTGTTCTACCTCTGTTGACCCTATTCCCTTGTTACCCTTAAAAAATTCAATAAAATATTTGTTAAAAAAATAATAATAATATTCTTCATTACTATTGCATGCAATGGATCTGAAAGCCACTATTCAGTCTCTTGTTTGGTATATTTCAGGTTACTGGCAGTTGCACTCGTCCATTCCAGCTTACAGTGGATAAGCTAAAGAAAGCTTTGCAGGATGCACAGTCAGAGGTGAATTTTGCTGATTCAATACTTGATATATTAGTCCAGTGGCCTAGCTACTCTGTTTGCCTTTTTTCTAAACAAGTGTTCATATCAAGTGTGATATGAACTCATTTGGGGGCAACTTTCCTTGTTCTGTGTTTAAACCCTTAGAATGAATAAACCTTTTTTTAAAGAATAGAATAGAATAGAATAGAATAGAATAGAATAGAATAGAATAGAATAGAATAGAATAGAATAGAATAGAATAAACTTTATTGTCACTTTAAACGTACACTAATCAACACACATTAAAATGAAATTTCTTTGCATACAGCTCTCAAAGGGTCACCACCTCCCAATATACACTACATAAATATGACCAAAAAATTACATATACCCACATACCCACATATATTCTATGACACAGAGAAACAACACCGTCTAGTTGGGATGTATACATGGCAAGAAAAACAAATCTTGCAAGTTTACCAGATGGATGGCATAGGGAACAAAGCTGTTACAGAATCTGGTAGTCCTGCTGGAAATACTTCGAAACATCCTGCCAGAGGGGAGCAACAGAAACAGACCGTAAAGTGGGTCTGTGAGGTGTCTATCAATGTTTCCTGCGCTTATAAGCAGTATCCTGAATAAAGGGAAGAGAGTTTCCTATAATCTTCTCAGCTGTCCTTACCACTCTCTGTATGGACCTTCTATCTGAGACACTGCTACCACCAAACCAAACTGATGCAGTTTGTTAAAACTAAGTATTACCTTCAACCAGTAATTTCCCCAACCCTGTTTGACTTTGAATGAAATGAAGATCAGAGTGCTACCTACAAGTGCCCTGTTGCTAACCTAATTTACGGATGAATATACGACAAAGAAATTTGCTTTAGCAAAGATTCCCACCATTTGTGTTTCTATCATAATTGTTTTTCACTAGAAAATGAAAGAACTGTTGTTCACTAGAAAGAATTTTTTTCTTCAGTATGCATCAGTTACATAGAGAATTTTTTAATAATATTTTATTAATTTTCCAATTTTACATTTGAATATTTAAAAAGCAACATGGTGACTAGGTTAATCAATAGCTCAGTAACAAAATCTTAGTACAAATCTCAAGTTAGAACATCAAATATTTCTTCTCTTTTCCCCTTAACAATTACTATCTCATGTTCAGGTTGGTACATTTCTAATTTTATCCATTCAATAAGTACATCATTATTACATTTATCAATAAATTTTTACCTTATACATATCTCAATTACATTCAATCTTCATAAACAATCCATATCCTGTTATTGATTTTTAATCAATTTTTAATTTCTTGTCAATATTCCAGCATTCCAAAAAAGTTACATAGAGTATTTTAAATTACCTGTATTATTTTATCATCCTTTTTGCATTTTGTGTTTGGTGTGTTTATCAATGAAACATATTTTTAATATTCTATGTTTTAATAATTATTAAAGAATTTTTAGCAGGCTAGAATGAAATAGAAATAGTCTTCAGCTCTAAAATACTTCATACCCAGTTGATTTTATTAACTGGGATGGGGCAGGCACCAGGGACATTGGAAAGATGTAACTTTTAGAAGAGTAGAATCTCTGACCTCATCTTATAGCACACTTTCTTGCACTATTTTTCTAAAGCACTCCTAAGGAAGGATGCAGCTACTTTTATTTGAGATAAGTTCATAGGGAGGAGGGGGAAGGATTTAAATCCATCAGGATAACACATAAAAAGTAAATTGCCACACTGTAGAATGCACTGATTTAAACTGTGAAATCAAGCCGCATGTTTCAGCCACTTAATAATAAAAAAGTCAGTTTTTACAATCACAGAATAAGTAGGTTTCCCGACAGGCTGTATTTGATATGTTGATGTGTTTAGTTCACATATGCACATATATGTGCACTTTTAAATGCTCTTGTTTCTTTTATAGGGTATCAAAGTAAGGGGTTTAATTCTCCTGAATCCCCAAAATCCCTTGGGGGATATCTATTCTCTCTCAGAGTTACAGGACTACTTGGAATTTGCAAAAAGGTGTGAAAATCTTACATGTTTTAGAGAATCTGATGGGCCAAAATTTGAATATGGTATGCTGCCTAGTTAGCATTGAACATTTATGCATATTATAAACAGCTGTTATATTATGGATTTTGAAAGCGTTTAGAGACCTTTCTGTAACTTGCCGGCCAGAACCTGGAATATAAATATCATAAACCGTAATTGTGAAGTGGAAGCAGCTTATATGAGAGAAGGTGATACAAAAATAATAGCATCCTAAGTTCTCCAGGACTTTCTAGGTCCTGAAGTTCACTGGCCTTTACTGTAGATTTTTGATGCGAATTTAGACTATGACCAGTTTTACCTGAATTTGATGAACAGGAAGAATAGAATTAATTATTGTAACATTGTGTTCACAGATAACCTCAAGGATTTTATCTGGAGTTTGAACAGCATGGAAAAGGAAACGGGGCTTTTTAATTATTAAGGTGCACCTGCCATTAAGTGAAAAATTTGGCACCATTTTGAAACATTCACCTCAGTAGGACTAGAGACACTGAAGAGCAATATCTCCAGTTTCCATGAGAGAGAAAGAGAGAGACTAAAAAACGAAGTCAAAAATGTGCTGGAAGAGGGCAACAAACAAAAATTTAAGGAAGTAGGAGATACCCAGTTGTCAGACCATGATAAGGCTGAAGGACCTATAGTCATGGAGGCTGGGATTTCTAATTTCCTTCCATTTCATTAATTTCATTATATTACTTCCTCTGTAAGCTTTTATTGGGAAACTTAAGCCAAACTAATCAGTTGGCTGCTTTATATATCAAAGCATTTATGGGAAAATAGTAATATATGTTGAGGTTTTGCTGTAATCTCTAGCAATGAGTGTGTTCTTGAATTGCTGATGCTTGAACTCCATTCTTGTTCTCAAACATTTTAGAATCATGGATATTCTTTTTTTAGTCAATTATTACAGAGACTGTCCATGAATGAATGCAAAATTCTTGCCTATTTCATGAGCGCAAGTCATTTTTTTCCAACTGCTGAAGTCCTCTCTTTTCCTCTGTTCTAGACATGAGTTGCATGTGATTGTTGATGAGATCTATATGTTGTCAGTTTTTGATGATTCTGCCACATTTCACAGTGTACTGGAAATGGACAGGTAAGGTCTGCTTTACAGCTTCAATTCATCTAGTAGCAAAGGTCACCAACATTAGGAAATCATTATAGAGTTGGAAGCCTTATGCATTTAATAAAATAAATAATGAAATCTGTGAATAACAGGAGTGCCCTTCCAGCTCAGAAGTGGAAATTGTTTTTTTTTTAAGTAAAATATTCTATATTTCCTAAATAAGAACAGTGGGGGTTTTGTTGTGTTGCTACATCAGCATATTTTGTGGCTTCAGAAGGTATCTTTGTAGTCTAATTTTTCATCATTTTAGAAAGCACTGCTGAGAGAATAGCTCTTTTGCTTCCCAGTTTATATTGTTCTCATATTTTTCTAGCAAGCATATTGGCTCATCTCATTAGCTAAGCATGGTCAGCTCTGATGAATACTTTGATGTGGGACACCCAATTGTCTAGAAAGAAGGCAATGGCAAACAAATTCCATAATGTGGTTAAGAAAATTGTATGGATGCATTCATGCAGGCAAAGAAGTTGAGCTCCCCTTTACTTCCTGAAACACATTTGGGAAAACATACATTTCAGGAAGGAAGGAAGGAAGGAAGATCTTGGGCCCTTTGGGGGAGGTGGTATTGGACTGCTAAGCTACAGTAGATGGGACTTATGGAACTGCTGCTGATGAATGGATCAAGTAATGGGAAAATGTAATAGCAATAGCACTTAGACTTATAGATTGCTTCACAGTGCTTTACAGGGCTCTCTAAGCGGTTTACAGAGTCAGCATATCGCTCACAACAATTTAGGTCCTTATTTTACCAACCTCAGAAGGATGGAATGCTGAGTCAATCTTGAGCAGGTCAGGATCAAACTCCTGGCAGTGGGCAGAGTTAGCCTGCAATACTGCATTCTAATCACTGCCCTACCATGGCGCATTAATCATTTGTATCTTGACATAGTTCTGACAGAAATTTCCTGTTTGAAGTTTCTGCTTTCACTTCCAGTAAAAGAAGGGGGGAGGGATATTGTTGACATTTAAATCAGGAGAAAGTTCAGCTTCTCCACTTTTTCCATATTCACAATTAACAGGTGGCCCTATGGAACAAAGTTTCTATTAACAATATTGATAATTATTAAGTATGTTCTTAGTTGTTTTGGAATTCTGGGTTGATGATCAAGAACAACCTTTCCTAATTTAATGCCTTGAGGTGTGCTTTATTATAACACCCATGACTCCAAACAATGTGGCTTTCTGTCTGAAAAGTTTGGGAGTTGTAGCCAAATATATTTAGAAAGGACCAGAGTGAAAAAGGTTGATCAAGAAGTCTCCATTATTTATTGAAAATATTCATATAGATATTCTTAATACATACAGATTGCCTGATCCACAAAGGACCCATGTGATGTGGGGGATTAGTAAGGTAAGTATTATTCTCCTAATATTCCGGTGATGCTCCCTTAAATTCCCGAACTATGAATGTTGGTTGAATCAAAATATTTACTTATATTATGAAAGCTGGATTGGTAATTCTTCTCTTCATTTACAGGATTTTGCTATGTCTGGAGTCCGGTTTGGTGTTTTGTACACACTAAACCAAGATGTTATCAAAGCTGTGACTTCTTTTAATTACTTTCATAGTATCTGTGGGCCTATGCAATACCAAATTACCCAGCTACTCAGAGACAGAGGTGAGTAACCTGGGAGCATCTATATTCATTGCTCCTAATAAGGAAAGACTTTTGCTAAAGGTGTTCCTATTTTTTATTTATAAATATATATCTGTCATATAATTTTGAGTTGTTTCCTAAAATTTCAGGAAGTATATTGAAGGTGATTGCCAGTTTGACAAATTTGAGATTATTTTTTTTTTAAAAAACCCTCACATTGCACCAAGACCATGTTCATATTGTTCCCCTTCACTTAAACCCATGTGTGTTCACACTTAAGTTCATAAAATATATATATCCTTGGAAATTCTTGACCATTGATTTCACTATGGCCTAGTTTACATACAGTATGCATGTTCCTGTCAAGTGTCAGTGACAAATGATGTCTACAAATGAATTATCACAGATCAAATGCAGCAGGTGGAATATGAATGTTGCCTCGTTTTACATAAAGGAATCCATCTGTCCATTGATCTATCAGCTTTTAGAAATTAAGCAGTAATATATATTTGTGTCTTTGCTAAGTGTCTTTCTACTCTTGGCTAGATTGGATCAACCAAGTATACTTACGCACCAACCACGAGAGACTGAAAGCTGCACACACTTTTGTGACAGATGAACTCAAGACCCTTGGCATTCCTTTCCTCAACCGAAATGCGGGGTTTTTTATATGGGTTGACTTTCGAAAGGTTAGTGTTCTTTAGATGCCCTGTATCTATATGCCAGTGGTAAAACAGATGGTTCTTTTTACAAGTAGGGTGTGAAGGCAACTGGTCTTCTCTATTGTTTGTATCTAGAATTTCAGATTCCACTTAGTTTATCTTGACAAAAAAAAAACCCCCAAAATGTCCTTGTAGTCTAGTTTGATTGGTCTTTGTGGGAAACAGAATGGGTAGATTGGATAGACCAGAAATTCTCCTCTTGGTCTCAGGAAAGGACTGACAGAAATCAAATTAATATCTATTTTTTTAAAAAATAGGAAAAATAGTGGTGGCTCAAATACACATATTTAAAAATGTGGGACTTGAGTATCTGACACATTTGGAGAGCCCCAAGTTTGGGAAGATTGAAATATACTCATCATTGTGAGTGTGTTTTATATGTAGAAGGATTGCATACATATTTGCATCCTCACATACACACACAGCATAATTGTCTCTCTCTTTTTGTTGTTACTGTTTGGATATGAGGTTTCCTTTTTTGCTCAGATCTCAGTTTACTCTTATTCACTAGGTCAGAGATAGGGAATCTATGTTCTCCAAAGACTGATGAACTACAGACCTCGTCATCTCTTATCATTGGCTGGGTTGGCTGATGCTCCTAGGAGATATAATTATGCCACATCTGATGACACAAGTTGTTTACCCATCCTGTGTGGGTTAAATTTTCTGCAGCTTGAGAGAGTCCTTCTTTTAGTCCTTCTTATAGGACTAAAAGATTGGGTTTTGTTTTTTTTTACTCATTTACTCTCTTCTTAACTGATTCCAGTATTTAAGAAAAAAAACATTTGAAGAGGAGATGCTACTCTGGAGACGCTTCCTGGACAAAAAGATCTTACTCTCACCTGGTAACTCATTTGAGTGCAATGAGCCTGGCTGGTTCCGTATCATCTTTGCTGACAAGATGAATCGGCTGCGACTTGGTTAGTGCTGTCCTCATCTATATTGTATCCAAGATTAACCCAACAGGTGATCCATCTTCTACCACATAAGATAGGATGTTGCAGTCCTGGACAAATGGAATTAACAGTCAAAATGCTAGTTAGGATGGATTTGCAGACAACTGATGAACAGTATTCAACTTGGTTGGCCAAATGTTGTGTATACTGTTCTTTCCTCCTTAGTTTTACCATCCTAGCTTTTCTTTGCATTCTGGTTTTATTGTCTTTATTTTTTAAACCAATTGAAGACAGATGAACATTCTAGAACCAGGACATTCTCCTACCAGAGAAGTAGGAGTATGTAACCATTGGGTCATGGACATTTCTTTGGGAAGTAATAAGTCCAACTTTATTTAACTGATCTGAACACATTTTGAAACGCTTAAGTGAACTGAAAAGTCCTGAAATATTCCATTTGTAAGTATACATGTACTACAAAAGAGATAGTTGGTAACAGGTGTAGCTTTTCATGAAATCCATTGTAAGTTCATTGTCTGGGTTATTGATTTAACTCAAAGGAAAAATCTGATGGTAGCTGTGTTTTTACTCTTATTAAGGTATTCTCAAATATCTGCATCCTACTTTTATTTCAACCTATCTATTTCCCTTACTTTCCATCCCCCCACCCATTTTTCCAGGGATGCAGAGAATCTGTGAAGTATTAGAAGAACAAGAGCATGAAATCCTGAATGAAGACAAAGATCAGTTGTGCCTGTCTGAATCAGAAGGCACAGTAGATAGCACAGATGAAGTGATCTTTGTGTCTCACCACCAGGAACCAACCTCCTCCGGAAGTTCCACTCTTGGCGATCTAATTGGTCTCCTTCAGCAACAAATGCGCTCATCTGATTGGTTGCAGAAAAATACAGTGGAGCAGTTTGCACAAGAAAAACCAGAAGTCTATGATGTTTTCAGCCAGTTAGTGGGGAAAAAATAGAGAGCATTGGTGCGTTCTTCCAGAGGCTATCAATCAATTTTGTCTTTTAAATTACTTATTGATATTTTTCCTATCTACTAGGAAACCATTTATTTCTTTTCAGCTTTCTCATTATTATGATGAATAGGGTTCAACTAGCAAGGGGCTGACATTTCTTACCTCTGTATTATCTTTTTGTTTTTAATGAGTAGGCTTGTGGTCTCTTAAGCAGTTTTATATTTTTATGAAGGGTTTTTTTTTTCAACCAAACAGATTGTTTTCAAAGAATTGTCATGTCTTTAGCTGAAACCCAGAATACAGCTAACCTGGATCTAAATTACGCATTTTTCAAAGTAGTTAAAAAAAAAATAGAGGCAGATTTAAATGTATTTTTACACAGGTAAAGAAAGTCATGTATGGATCTCATCTGTATCATTGTGAGATGATTTATTAATGAAGTTGAGGATTCTCAAGGCCAGAAGAGATGTCATATTTCCTGTCTCTTCACTCTGTTGAAGAGATCAGGAGAGTCCCTAAAGTCACCTCCTCCTTGTAGTTCTTCTCCTCTGAGATATGAATTGTTATAGCTGACATTAATTAACTACAATGAGTTGTACTAAATACTATCTTTTAACTAGGTTTTAAAGAGTAATTAAACATGTTTTCCAGTTAGTTATGTATTGTCTTGAAAAAAAAAGGCCTTTGGGACCAAGAAGGCATGAAAGTGATGTAGAAGTATCACCAGAAGGGACAGGGCAAAAAGCACTTGTTTTAGTTAAAAATTGACACATATGTTTAACAAATCTATTTTATGGGGTTGGTTATAAAAACAGAAAGCAAAGAAAGTATCACATCAGCAAAAATCATTAACTTTCTGTTGAACGGTGGCAAAATATTGCTAGACTCCAGAAGTTGCAGAAATGAGTCTCAGCACACACACACACACACACAAACACATTTAAGGGCTACAAATTGCCACATCTAATTTAAAGCAAATATGCAAAAACTGTGTCCTTCCAAGTTTGGGTGCCCCTTCCAAAGTTGTAAATATTAATGGTAAATTAAAGCATTCACACACAAAAGAGAAATAGGACATGAGGTTCTGAATCCAGTCAGGATTTTTAGCAGACTGATATTGTTACATTTACATTGATCTGGAAATCTTCAGAGTCAACACAAAACCTTAAATTCTACAATAGTTTAAAGCATTCCATCTTGAGATTACTATGTTCTAAGTCTCTTTCTTTTTATAGCTTGAATCCATATCTGAAATTTAAAAAAAATCCAATGGTATCTCATCAGTCCTGAAACAAAAGAACATCATTCACACTTAGAGCAAAATGCTGTTCTATAATAAATTTTGCTATAAGTTGATTGTTTAAAAGTTCTATGGTAAGATTGTCACATGAATAGACAAAATCTTAACTGCATTGTAGAAAAGTGGAAAATGTACCATCACATGAAAAGAAATGGACCTTAAATAAGGATTTGCAAATGAACACTTCTTGAAGAATACTGGTTGTTTCTTAAATTGTTTTTAGAAAAAAATTAAGATGATTTTTATCCAACAAGAGGAAGAGAAAGAAAATAATCTAAGATTCAATTGTTTGACTTAGCACTTTGATGGTAAATGACAGTGATGATGGGTCAATGTGCCTTATCTGGATTGTTTCATAAACTTAAAATTTCTTTCCTAAAAATAATAAAAAAGAAATTGCTGTCTGTTTTTCAAAGTGTAATTGAGTTCACATTCTGAAAGCTGAAGTTTTTGTAAACTGTAGGTTTGATATGAAGGTCATACTTAAATGACTTTCTGAGAATCACTTATCTGGGAATCACGAATTTAGTTAGATTCCCAGCCAACTAATCTTTCTCAACCCACTTCCCTACAGCTTTCTAAAGAGTTTGGCAACTTACTCCACTCAGCCTTCTGTATATCCTGCTTCTGTGACAGCAGAACATCTAAGAACAGAATTTCACACTTCAAGGAGATGAATGAACCAGAAATTTCTTTTCCTTCTTCCAATTCTGTTCCTCTACTCCCTCTACTCAAGCTCCTTCCAGCCAGATAGAATCCTTTCTTTTCAGATGTATTCTTATTTAACTCTTACATAACGTCCATCAATTTCAGCAATGATCTCTAAGCTGCTGCTTCTGTATCTCTTCACAACAATCATGTAATTCAGTCCCAAAGTTCTCCCCAGCATGAACACTCTTCATCTTTTTCTTTCATCGCCATACAACTTCTAAAAAATCCAGACTGTTCTGACCATCATTATCAGCCCATTTTTTTAATTCATCGTTATTATAACTGTCTTTTCCAGTACTTTCTCTCTCTTAACATCTCCAAAGTTCTCTTGATTCATACTCTTCCACTTCCTAAACTCTTATTTTTTTCTCTAAATTTTCCTCTGGCTGTACAGCTGCTCTTTCCCTATATCATTGGTCTGTTCACTGCTTCTCCATTCCTGACCTCTCTCCATCGTGTCACCTAGGACTCTTGATCTTCCAACTCTTCTCCCCAATGGCAGCCGTGCGCTATCTTTCTAAAGTTAGGTCATGACCAAGAGTCTTGCAACTTGTGACTCAAGCACAGTCTATAGGTTAATTACCTGCTAGTTAGCAATCCCCTGAATTTTTCCATAATAGTAAAAACATGCTTTGCAGACAGATTGATTGAACTTTATCATGTTGGGTTGCACATTTGAACAGAGAGTTATTTATTATTGGTATAACCAAAAAAGATAATTATGGGTACAGGCTATTTTAGACAAAATACTAAAGATATAATATCTTATAAGGTCCAGATTTTTTCAGTAGATTTTGTTTTTCAAAACTTTTTTTGGTCCTAAGCTGCAGGGAACATTTATTCATAGTAAAGGACGTGAGCAAAACAAAGCACAACAATCCCATGCTGTATAAACATAGGAGGCAAATACTATTTTTAGCTGTTCTGTATATTCCCTGCTGTTCTTCATCAGATTCTGAATGTGCAGAGGGACATGCACGCATGACAGCTTAGCTATTCTAGCCAAGTCCTCATCATGACCTTTATTTTCCTCTTCTGAACAAGATGCAGAAAATGTATGATGGGTTAAAGATGGATACTTTGATTAGCTGTGGTAACAAACATTTTTTCATCATTCCCTACTTAGAATATGTAGCATCAAAACAATGCCAAGTCCACAGAAGTATTCACAAAGTTTTCTAGAGAAGCATTGGCAGAGAACCAAGTCCAACTATTTAAACTGTCATTTTAGAAAACAAAAATTTGAGTATTTCACTCCCATTTGTTGATACTGGATCAGAGGTACAGAACTGTTGTTATCTGACTCAGTGGCCCTTACAAGTAAAATGCTTGCATGGTATATAAAATTAGCATCTGGCTTCAGTCCAGACATATTAGTGTTTATGTAATATGACTCCAATGCTCCATTCTGTTACTTTTAAGTGCACGTAGTGTCTGCAGCCAAATTTACAGTATGCTATTTCTGATACACCATTTCAGAATGTACATTAGGGAACTGTATTTATAGGCACGCTACAATCAAAGGCACCCTGAATTATTCACCAATGATAAGTAATCTTTTTGAGCCTAATTTTGATTAGGATGTATATATACAGTTGTCTCCTGTGAGGGGACTATATCAGAAATTGCACTTGCAGGTTGATTTCTCATTGAAGATTCTTCTAATAATTTTGCTTATTATTTCTAATAATAATTTCTGATAATCATTCTTTTTAATAATTTCCAAAGATGATAAATGTATGTTAGGGTTAATGTCTTCTGGGAGATAAGTCTTGAGAGATTAGCCTTAGGATTCTTTTTCCTGCTCCTGGAGATGAGTTTTCACCCATTTTTGAGACATGGGGTAAATATACTGCTCTTACATGGTTGCTGTTGCTGCTTATTGGGGTCCAAGGAATAAAGAAGTCTTCTCCATTGCTGCCTGCTTCTCTCCCCACCAACCAAGCTTGGGTGTTGGTTTTCCGCCAAGAAAAATGGTTGCTGGCTCCAATTAATAGCAGCAAGTTGCACCCAAGTCAAGTAAGCCCATTGAAGGATTGATGTTGGAAGTAGTGGCTATGTTCTCCAGCAATCACAGAGAATCAGGACAATGCAATAAAGGGGAAAGCAGCAAGGTGATGGGAAAAAAATGGTCTGTGGGTAGAGGTAATACCAGCCTCGTGGAGGGCATCGATATGTTGATATCCCCTGACCCATGCCCTCCCCTCACCCCCAAATGACTGCAGGGTAATCTTCTGTTCCTTCGTCAGCCAAAGAAGAAATAGCCATGGAGGCACAGAAACTTGGGGATGGAAGGGAGAGGGTATGATATCAAAGCTATTTTGTGCCAGGCTGGCATCAAAATGGAGACTCTGTTGTGAAGACCTATCCCCAAATCCTCCCTTCAGACTCAAGGTGAAGATGGTGTGGGAATGTCCATTAGTCAGGTCAATGGATACTTCAAAGGAATGATTTGAAAATAGTATTTCCTTGAACTATATATGTTGTCATTGTCAAGCTATCTCCACTGATAACCAGCTAGGAGTCCTGGCTAAGGTCTGTTGTCATTTTGCTGTCCCCTCCAGTATCAGTTTTGTATAATAAAATATTATAGAGCAACAGGAAGCAGGTAAGGTGTTGGCTGCAGAATATGAATGAACAGCAAGAGAGTAATTGGCTTTGAGCTGAAAATTCTTCACTTGTGATCTGAAATTAATTCCCAGCTGCCTTATGCTGCACACGAAAGCTCAAAGTGGGAGGAGGGAAGCCCTGCTCTGACGTATTTATACAAATAAATAGCCTGTCATCTGAAGCTGGTGAACAATTTTGCAGGATATAAATGGCAAGGCAGAATCTAAAAATAAACTGGTTTGCTGCAAACCTGCCTGCCTTGGCTGTACTATCAGAATACAAACAAGGTCTCTTCTGCAAAGAGTCAAGAAAAGGTACATGCTCATATTTTTAAAAGATATCCTCAGAATTAGGTTATACCACGGAAAGCAGTATATACTGAATTTACTTTTTTTGCTGGCTTTAATCTGGTATAAAATTTCTATTTTATCTCAATAAGAATGCAACTGAATGAAAAATGTCCTTTGAATTGTGCTTGGCTCCTAGAGACTTCATGCAGACATTCATTTGTCATTGTTTCTTCTCAGATTTTTTTCTAAAATTCCCAGTCTAACCTACAGCCCAAGAATTCAAGTCTTGGAGATGTCGCATATCAGTACTAATCAGCACCTTACTTTAGGTTTTTTTCCCACATCAGTTTAGGTAGTCTGCACTGATTTCTATCAATAATCAGTTGTTGCTTTTGGAATTAACCTGATAATTTGGAAAAAAAAGCACAGACACACCTTGGATTAGATGTAGGTTATTACTTGGAGATCTGTGGAAATAGGTTGTAGGTTAGCATGGAAAGCAAAGAAAGAAAAAAAGAAAAATACTGCAAAGGTGCAAGGCAAATCACTTGTGTACTGTTGCAAAGAAAACGACATGAATGTGTTTGTGTAGTCACCAGAAATTAAGCTCAACACAAGAGAGCCTTTCCCTTCACCTTTTAGATTCACAAGATCTATTTTTATTTATTTTATTCTTCCATTTGATGCCGCCCAATTATGGGCGGGCTCACAATATTGTTCATCAACAATACAATAACAATACA